TTGAAAGGTTTTCTTCCATAAAATTAATCGATTCTAGACTAATCCGACTCAACATTTCCAAAATACGTATATTTTTTTTGGAAATAATCCGTATAAACTACGCTATAAACAAAAAATTGTAGGATTACTTACCGAGTGTGCACCGCCATTGCTAATGCTTGTTTTCGTCGCGGAGCGTCTCTCCGCAACGAAAACAAGCATTAGCAATGACGAAAGTTTTCTGATAAGTTATTTTTCTGCGAAAACTTCGTTGAACTTCGGAGACATCATTAATATAAATAATTTTTATGGCCGTTCAATAAGAAATGTTTCTTTCACAAGAAATGTATAAAATTACAGTACTGTATTACACTTACGGTACTTAATTTACATACTGTACAGACGATAGTTAGCGTAAAATCTCCGTAGCGTCCGTCACGCAGAGGAAAATATATATATATATATAATTATAATAAAGTTACAATAAATTAAGTTAATATATAATTATATATACAGTACCTGATTTATGTATAATTAATATATAATTATATGTACAGTACAGTAATTTATATATAATTTATATAATACTGTTCAGACGATAGAAATCTCTCCGTAGCGTGGCGCTACGGACGGCGGGAAAGTAGTTCGGCTGCCCGATGACGTTTAACGTAATTATAGGGGGTTTTCTACTGTTTTTTACGGATACCGGTCACAATTTTTTCATAGTTTTATAGGAATCATAATTATAGGGGGGTCGACTGTATATAAAAACAAGTAAAATGGCAAAACCATATTTGGAACAAGACTATGTCTTGGAGATCACTACTAAGTGGAATCACTTTGACACTCAAGGTGAGTCTCGTTCTTATTCTCCAATCTTCTTTGGTATCACTGCTTTTGGGTGTGATTGTTCAAACTTCGCTGGCCACGACCACAAGGTCATCCACAATGCATTTTCAATTAAATTAACCTATCCAATTTCGAAATTTCTCTCCGTTGTGTATCGGCCCTGGTTCAATTTTTGTCAATGTGTAACGAAAATTTCCCGTCTTTGAAAAAAAAAAATCTTGGCTATTGTATCATCCAAAATTATTTTTTTATTTTGCACAAACAATATACAGTTTAACCCGATTATAACGTCATTGGATGTAACGACAACCCTAATATAATGTCAAATTTTTATCAGTCCCACGATTTTACTATACTAGATAATGTTAAAAAACCTACTTGTAACAACACCCTGTTTTAATGTTATATTTGAAGCACTCCCAAATTTACAAAATTAGATTACAAATTTTATTTAACATAGCAGAAACTGTGTGTTCAGTCCTAAGGTCAGAGTTCACTTCTTAGAATGACTGTGGGTGGTACTTTCCCCCACCTGACTTCGGTGGGGTGAGGTGCCTGTTTTGCCTGTTTGTAGAAGAGGGTTGCCATTTTGGATTTTATTTTGGCTCGGTTCTCAGTCCTCTGACTACCTACGAGTCTGGATTTTTTATGCACAAATGATTTGGGCACCTAATACTTTGTGCCAAATATCAACTCTTGACATGTACTCCTTCATACCTCTATGTTGGTAAGACAATCGGGCAGTACGATTTTATAAAAAATATATATATATTTTTTAATGATGGGAAAAATCATAAAATTTAATTCCAAACTCATGGTACAGTACATCTCAGAATCAATGTCATATTAGAATTGAGAAAATATGATATATAGTATATAATATTATAATAACTTTTAATTAAATAATAATTAACTTGGTTTTCTTTTAAGAACAATTTAACATATTAATTTCTTCATTTACTGTATTTTACAGCATACAAGACAACTTCAACCAAAAAAAGAAAAACAGTCCTGTGTCATACATGTGAAATTGTGATCTCCCATAGGCTAATGAATTCTCCAAATGGCCTTCAACAGGCTACAGATAACCTCTACAGACTCTTGAATAAAAATGTTATTGTTTAATCAAACACATTATTATTAAGATCATTATTTGCTATTGCTAAACAACCTTTTCATGTATTCAAGTTGAATATTTAATGGTAAATTTTAATTCTTAAGTTGTTGGTAAAGAATTATTTTAAACGTCTCTTTTTTCCTGATAAAAGTGTGCATTCTAATTTTACTTTTTTCAACCAGAGTACAGTAAAAAAATTTGGGACCAAATGCCAGGGTGTGGCATGGTTTTTAAATACACTGAATATTTTTTCTTAAATATTCTGTGTTCAAATGGAAATACATTTTATATGCTGTAAAATATTGTATATAATTATTTTTATAAAAACTGAATAAATCTTAAGCATGCTTGATATGATTATTTTTATTTTAGATTACTAAATTTATGACATTTTGATCAACAAATAATTGCACTTCAATTAAAAATCATTTTCAGTGAGCTTTATATTTTTAATTAAAGAATAATAAAATTTAATTTGCAGGCAGAATGAAATAAAATGTCATGTAACAAACTGCTAATTAAAGTATTCATTGCAATAATCTCATATGCATCTAATAAATCAACAGAGTTTAGAAAAGTATCAGAAAACTGAACTATAGCTTATGTACAATTCAATGTTTAATTTTATAAAGACACTAACAGATTGACCTGGTGTTGTCAGTTTAAAAAGCAAGTAAATTTTTAATATGATTACCATTGGTTAAGGTTAATATCATCACACAAAAATTAATTAAGTAGTTTTATATTTTTTAAAACTGATTATATATTTGAAAAATATATATCATAAAAAGTAACTGAATAAACCAAGTTACATTATAATAACTATTTCACACACACAAAGCTTCAACCACTATCTAACTTTTCTTTGTAAACTTCTAGAAGAATGACATAGATGCTCCACCAGATATGTATTATATATTGCACTAATAATACAACTTATATGAAATAAAACAACCTACAGTCCCATTCACAAGTACAATAGTACAATCCATTTCACAAACATTGTCTAGGTTGGCCAATGCAAAATTTTTGAAAGGAGATCTGGAAATATTTCAAAAAATATTGTTTGAAACTCATACTAATGGGTTTAACTGTATATGTAACTATCATAAAAATTTGATTTTATCACTTTTTGCTGTTTGCAAATTTTATTCTCAAAAAGCTTTGTTTAAGAACTAATACCCCCATTTAGAAAATAAATCTGGTCCTTTGTTACTGTTCATATTTACATAGACACACTAATTTGCACTTGGAGCAAGACTTGTCAAAGGGAAGGAACAGTACATTCAAAACAACAGCAGAAATTTCTATTCCTGACTTGAATTTTATTAAAAGAGATTTATTAAATAAAATTAGAACAAAATAAAAGTCAAGTTAAACTGCAGCATCTCTTGATTTCAACAACAAAGAACATATTAATTAATGTAACTATATTTTAAATAAAAATAACAATCAAAATCAATTAAATATTAAAACATGTACACGATATTTACATAAGATGTGAAATGAAACCAAAATCACAATAAAGCAGAAGTTTGAAAGATGACTAATTTGACAAAAACAGCTAAAAAAATAAAAATAATAATGAAACATAAACCATAATTTTAATCCCTATTTTTCAACAGAAATAACTAAATTCTTGGCCCCAATGTCCCTAAAACTACCGTGTTTCCCCAAAAATAAGACAGTGTCTTATATTAATTTTTGCTCTGAAAAATGCGCTAGGTCTTATTTTCAGGGAATGTCTTATTTTTTCCAGGAAGAAGAATTCACATTTATTATTGAACAAAAAAAATTCCCAAGTCGAACTTAGACGAGAGTGACGTATATCCGGTGTGTCGAACTGTCGCCTTTTTATCGCGTCAATATGGGACTCGATAACCAATTAGTGCTTACTGAACCGTAACACTATGCAAATGTCATGTGGCGTGATTCTCAGCCGACCAATTAGCCATCACCAGCCGTAACATTATGCAAATCTGTGATTCCCAAGCCATAGTCTTATGCAAATCATGCCGTGTGGCGTAATTGTCTGCTGACCAATCAGTGGATGTACTTTCAAAAAGCCAACGGCCACTTTCAACCATCTGTCAATGACCGTTATGACTAAAAAAAACTTCGCTAGGTCTTACTTTCAGGGGGAGGTCTTATATTTTGCAATTCAGCAAAATCTGTGCTAGGTCTTATTTTCTGCGGATGTCTTATTTTCGGGGAAACACGGTATAAACAGCATGATTTATTTAGATTGGAGTGGAAATAAGACCATCTTGCTGATTGTTTAGTGATACATTTTAATTAATAACTAAACAGAAGTTTCATTTTAGTATTTTACATCATGCCATTAAGATTCATTATGAAAAGTTATGTCTATTAGACCCCTTTTTTGTCCTGTACACAGTTACTCTTTGATTTCTATAACATACGACAGATATACATTCAGAAATTATATATGTATATAGATTTTGTAAATTGTACTTTATTAAATAAGTTCAGAATTTATATTACTTACTATAAAAAATAAATTTTGTACTAAAATATATAGTGAAAATATTTTATTCATGATACGACTTAATTATTATAAAAGTAATATTAAATAATATATTATAAATACTTACTGAACTTTTCCAGTCATATCTAATAATTTCTGATAAATCATTTTAACAATTTCAAAACTAAAATAAAGAAAAAAGTATGTAAATTTCTTTAATATATGCATATATAAATTATATTTAATATTTATAAAATTCTATACTAACATTATTTATTATGATATAATAGATTTTAATGTTATACTTCAAGGAAATAACTATTATTATAAATATATGCATTTTCAGGTTTACTTATGCATTATATTTATCTTTTTTTTCTAATTAATTTACAGTAAATTTATCTATATATGAAATAGTTATGCATATATTTTATATTAAATAATATTTATATGTCAGTAGTAAATCTCTTATAAAATTATAGATTTTTCTAATAAAAAAAATTTCAATATTTTCAAATACAAAAGATATCAATAAATTTTATATTGTAGAATGTTCATTTTTATTTTCTATAATACTGAATGATAAATGTAAAAAATAAAAATTATTAATTAAATGACAAAAAGTTTAGAATTCAAATCAGATTTTCAAATTACATTCAATATATTGACATTTTATTTTAGGCTGACATAAATTCACTATAACTGAATAAAAAAAAAAATGATAATAGGTTGATGAGACAAAGAGGAAGCTGAGCTATAGTCTTGTTGTCTGAATCTATATAGGGCCCCAAATAGGGCTGTGCAAAACCAAAATTTTGATATTGACATTTGGTTTAATATTGAGACTCCTTTCCTTTAATGTTTGTTTTTAAAGTAACAGCTAATTGATAGTTAATAGTTATTTTATTAGTATAATTACCATTTTAGAAACTAATTTACTGTTTTCAATAAACTTTGTCATAGAGTTAATTGTTTGTTTTTAGACTTTATAATTAAAATTTTATTATACAGATTTGTCTTAGGCCTAATGCTGTACTGATAATGATATATGAAACCAAAATTGATATATGTTTACAATATTAATATTGATATTAAAATTTGATTTCATGGTTGGAAAAGTATATTCTGAGTCTCACTAGTAAATGTAGTATTATTGTAAAACAGGCAGATATACAAAACTGCATTGTTCTTATACATGTGTACACCTTTCAAATTTGTAAAGAATCTAATGTTGGCTGATGAGGGGCAGTGCCCAAAACATGTAGTAACACTCGTATCAACAGAATAAAGATGAAAAAATGCCAATTGTTTAAATAGTAGTGCAGTCTTGTGTTTGAGAATCATAAACATTAACTATTTTAAATAATTGGTACTGCCATACATTAAATCTAGTTATTCTTAGTATAAGTTAATCTGAAACTATAAAAAAGTATTTTAATTTAAAGCAATTATGTAAAATTTAAGATTTATTTTCTTTCAACATTTAAATTAAAATATCTTCAATAACTACAACTTCTATTCCTTAACATTATACAATCTCTTCCCTTACATAAATTAACCATGCTTATTTTTAGCTAAACAGATTATAGAAAAAATATGAACTAGAACAAGCAATCTGTATATCTTTACTATAGTAATTAAATATACAAAATATTTTAAAATACACAGTCTTCCAAAAAGAATGCTATCATCTTAAATTACAATAATTACGTTAATTATTACCTGGAAAAAAAATGTAATATACACCAAAACTTGCAATGTTTTGATGTATATTACATTTCATTATCATATTACATATATATGAAACTTTTTTGATATATATATCTATTAAAATCCCTCAATGTGTTCACCTCATAGTCACTTAGCATGTATCCAGCCAATAGTCAAATTCTTCCTACACTCACTGCAGCATATCTATTATTACTCCTGCCACAGTAGTCAAAATTTGATTCTGCAGCTCCTGAAAATTCCTGGACAATGGTAATATGTAGACAGTGTCTTTGATGTAGTCCCACAGGAAGAAATTGCAGGGTGTCAGATTCAGGAACATGGGTATCCACTGGAGCAACAGTTGTCACTGAGCCTGTGACATCCGATCTATTGCTGAGGAAGCACATGATCCAAAACTACATAGACTATAAAAATGGAGAAGGGCCTGTATTGATGGAAGATGTAATCATCAGAATCTTGATTCAGCTGAAGAAACAGCTGAATCAAGATTTGCAGAACATCCAGATATAAGAACCCAGTGACTGTTACTTCCATGAAGAGGAGTAGACCATACACCTTTGTGGAGGAAATGGCACAGAAAACATTAAGTTTTGGTGAATCATGTTCATATTCAAGTGTTACATATGAGTTTGCTATGTCCTATATTCACATATTATGATGATTCACTTTTCTGCTTAAATGAAAGGTTGCCTTGTTACTAAAAATGAAGCAATATGAAAAGGCATCATCATCTTCCATTCTCCCCTGCATGTCTATGCAAAAGATAAATCTGATTGTCTTACACAGAACTTTTAGGACTTGCAGTAACTGAAGCATGTAAGCTTTCATAACCAATTGTTTACACAGAACTCTGTGTCATTTCAGGTATGACCAAATCATGGCTACTTTGACTTAATGAGTTTTCATGGCTCCACATGCAAGATTTTTCCACACATTTTCTTCTGACATTTTGACAGATCCTGGACTTTTCCTCCTCGCAAGTGCACTCTTTCTCCTGGAAATGTCAATACCAGCAAAGAATGTTTGTCTTATATGATAGATCGCTAAAATTATCTGTAAAACTTATGTCATATAATGATGACCAATTTCAACTTTGTAAACTACAGAACACAGAATGCCTTCTGTGGGAAATTGCCATTTTCATTTACAGTGCTGCCTAGTAACAGGAGATAAAAAACATGTTTGAATGTAAATGGTATATAACACTCAGACAGTTACTCTATTGATTGGTGTACATTGCATACTTCTCAGTTAATAATTAACATAATTAAAGTAATTTAAAATGGTAGCATTTGTTTCAGAAGACATCATACTTTAAGAAATCAATAACAAATAACAATACCTTTTAGTGGAAGTAATTGAATAAACAAGAACATATCCATGTATATCCATAGAATATGACTGAGGAAATATTGACAGTTCATCCTAGATAATAAAAATATATAAAAGAATTATTTTTAAATACATGAATAAATTCAGAGAAACATTTAAATTAGAAATGATTTCAAAATCAAAAATATTTATAAAAAAACAAAAATGCATATCTAGATAACAAATATGAACTAGGACAATACTTAATTTTATCAGCAAATCTAAGATACAAGAGTACAGTATATCTTTACAGATATACTGTACTCTTGTATCTTAGATTTCATAATAAAAACAAAATACATTCATTGACAAAAAAAAAAAAATTATACACTCAAATAAAATTGTCTGATTTTTGCAAAACTTTGCATACAGCTATGTCTCAAACACATATATAAACAATTACAGTTGTGGTCTGATTGCATGCCAAGTAATGCCATCAAAGTGACTTCAAATTATTACACAATTTCTTATAAACAGGTTCACAGAGGCTCACTTGTATTCAGAATTTTCAGTGTACCTGTTGTTTAGCATATATACCAGGCAAATATCTATATAATACAGTCAAAAATGTTATACACAGCTGACAATGTTTGACAGAAATCACAGACAGAAATAACTGGGCTAAGGGAAGCAAGATGGACATTTTGCTAAACTGCCCACCATCTGAGCTATTCTGTTCTGACTATGTGAAGGTGTTGGAAGCAGTGAATACATGAGGGGGCACATATATATGGCAGGCAGACTCAGGATAACTAAGATGTGTAATAGGAGAGATAATCATCTTGTGATACAAGAAAAAACACTGCAATGATACCTTTGTTCATCATTCAGAGATAGGTGAAAGTTTCACTACAGAACCCTCTCTCTTCCATACCATTGAGAGATAAAATTTTTATGCACAGTTATTGTTATGTCTTACCATCAGCACCTCAATATCATCACTTTTTTTGCAGTGGTGCTATGACAGAGAAGCATAAACTGCTATGAACTGGCAGCATATTGTCTTTACTAACAAATCTTGGCTCTGGGAACAAACAACTTTTATGTTAAAGCAACAATGGCTAACTTCTTTGGACTCAAAGGTTAACCTTCAACTTTAGAAGCAGAGAGGACCACACTTTGAAATACTGTACATGTAACTCACCACTTACCTCCTTACAAAAATTACCAAGCCAAACTCTTCTCCTTAACACTATTATTGAGAGAATCTGGAGCTGAGGAAATAATTTTAACAAATTTTGTTAAAATATTTATTAAATATAATTGATAGAAATTTATCTATTTGTAGAAATCATACAAAGTTGAAAAAGGAACTTCCTGTTTTGATGGAGGAAAATAACATAGTTCCTCCAAAAGTGATAGTTAGAGTGGGATTTCTCACACACCATCTGCAGGACTGCCTGACTTCCATCACGCGTTGGAAGTGTGGAGGGCTTATTTCAAATAATCTGATTAGAGGAGATTTTTGTATAAAAGGTGATAGATCATCTCCAAACATCTGTTGAGCTAAGTAAAACCAAACTAAGTTAAGCCAACTAGTTCAGTGCAGTTTAATTAACTTAAACATAGCTCAGCTCACTTGACCTTTTAAGAGGCAAGTTATAACTTAAAGAATCTAGATATTAAATTATGTGAATTTCTCTTGATAAACCTCAATGCATCTCTCATATAGGAGACATCCAGATAATATGACTTATGTAAACTCTCTCTCTCTCTCGGCAGGTAAAGTTAGTAAATGAGGCTAATTCAAGGTCCCACTTATAAAAATTATTTTTTTTTTGGTAGGTTGTTTCATTTTATCATGTTTAATCATTAAAATATATTTTTAATATTCGTTGTATATAGAAGGATTTGATTTTTCTTAATAAATATATCTTTTAAATATTATTTCGTACAATTTGTTTATGCCTAACTCCATCTTACTCATGCTAAAACTAGATCCTCCTATAAACTCTGGTAAATTATTTTATACTTTTATTTACACCTTAGTCTGCAGAACTGACTAAGTAGTGTCAGGTTCCTGACTGGAAATCTTGCTGATTCTCCAGATAAATAACAGCTATCACTCATGTGAGATGGAGAATACCAGAACCCCTGCATCTCACATTATAAAGAAAGTATAAAATATTGGGAAATTAGATTTAAAAAAGCTATTAAATTAACTGAGGATAAACTACTGGTGAAAATAAAGATATTTTGTTTTGACTTTTGACTAAGATTTTTTCTCATACTGGTGTAGTTTCTGATTAGCAATAAGTCCTATTAATAAACAAGGTCAAACAAAAAAGTAAAAACAGTAAGGAGATAGAGGTAAAAATAATTAGGATAAAATACACTTTATTTTAACTTTACTTATTGCCACCAATGTGAACATTGTGGGTACTCATGAAAACTAACCAATCTATTACAAGAACTGGTTAGTCTAATTGTTGAAATTGGTAGAAAACTTCTGAACAGCATTTTAACATAATTGTTGAAAAAATAATTGTATCTGTCTTGTAAGAACAAGACAGACAATATTAACATTTATTTTTTGGGTCATGGGCAGATCTCATGGGTCATTGCTATGTTAGAGCATGTAAGATCATTAGTGAGTCTTTACTGTTGTGCAACATATTGCCCCTACTGTTGGTGTGCTGATCTGGGAGCCATCTTGCATGACAGTCAGTCATCTCAAGTAGTAATGTGAAGGGCATTAATATCACAATGGTATGTTCAGAAAATGCTGCACCCTTACCATGTTGCCTTCATGGCAGGATCACAAACAGCCATTTTCCAGCAAGGTAATGCTTGTCTCCATATTGCCACACTTCCTTGACCTTTCTGATCTCCCATCAAGTAAATCGAGCTGACCATTAGGGATCAGATGGGACACCAATTTCAGTTGTCTATTGAGAGATCTGCAATAGTAGTTACAATTGTAGGTACATATGTCACAGGACAGCATAGAGTCTATGTATCTCCATGCCTGACCATATTGCCATCTGTAAACAGGCAAAAGGAGGTCCTTCATTGGCACGTTTAACTTCATGGGACCAGGTAAATTTGAATTAGGGGACCCATGTACAGTGTTGACTTCTGACATTTTTCTTTGGGAGAATGTTTTGGGGAAATATTTTCTTATAAAAGATTAGTTTGGGACTCCCTGCTGATGAGGGACCTAGGCAATTGCCCATAGGATAATGCACCTCTGAGGTCCTACAAGTTACTAAAGGTTTATTTAAATAGTATTGTTGTTCCACAGGAAAGTGTTCCTTTGCTATGATACTGCAATCACTTATTACCATCATCATTAGAGTTGCACTTATAAAGTTTCATTCAATTCTAACACTCCTCCTTTTGTGTATAACTTTTTTGTCAATGAAAGTATTTTTCACAAACTTACAGAATTTATTTCTGAATTCAAACAGATTAGAATTTTAAATAAAATTTTTTTTAATAAAAAAAAAGTACACTGTATTCCTTTATTTTATATTCTGAATTCTGCTTAATTCAAACAAATTTTGTTCATTTTTCTGCTAAGTGTTCCTGCCAAAAACAAAAAGAAATCAAACATTAACTTTTTGAAAACAGAAAATGTTTTAAAATAATACCAATACATACTATACATTTTAGCATAAATGCAAAGTGATCAATCTGATCACTTTGCATTTATGCTAAATGAAATGTGAAAAACGGGACATTAGATTGAGTGCTATGACATGATTTCAGTTGACCAGATCTCACATGATCAATTCCAGTCAATGATTGTCAGTTTTCTAGCTTTTTTAACATCATTTAATTAATGACAGACGTCACAAATAATCAATGAACATTTTACTTATCCATACTCATTTACAAATTAATGAATAATAGCAACAATGAACAGTTAACTATGGCTCTTAGTAAATCTTTGCTTTAATAACCTTTTTTTAATTCATATAATTAACAAAAACCATAAACTCTCTTTTTATAACTGATCAGGAAGACCATGGTACTTTCATGCTGTATATATTTACTGTTTTTCAACAAACACAGTTGCCAGACTGAACAATAAATCATCAATTGGACTTCCATTTCTATAGACTGGATATTAAAATTTTTACACTAACTTGTATAAGGTTCTTTTTTGACTTACAATTCAAGTAATGAATGTTAGCTATTTTTAATCATAAAACAATCCAAAAGCAGGACATCTTTTGAAACAACTCTAAAACTGGGAGAGCATATTAAAAAACAGGACTGTCTGACTAATTCAGGATGTCTGATCAGTTTTAATAAATGTATATGTTACTGAGAATGACTGATATCTGGCGAATGTCGAGATTCTCCGGTGAATGTCAGCATTCACACAGTCGTTTCATGTATATAGGAAATATTTGCTAAATATCATTATTTCTCACTTACACTGGCAAATGTTGACATTCAGCATGCACTGATGGTGAATATTGAATAAAAATATTTTTATTACGTTAAGACAAAAATGCAACTTTTTAATATGTCAAAATAGGAGAAAGCTTAAGTAACAGCAATATAAATAAACTGTTGAANGGCAAATGTTGACATTCAGCATGCACTGATGGTGAATATTGAATAAAAATATTTTTATTACGTTAAGACAAAAATGCAACTTTTTAATATGTCAAAATAGGAGAAAGCTTAAGTAACAGCAATATAAATAAACTGTTGAACCTAAAACAAACAGTACATTCTAAATCATTAAAGAAAATAATACAATAATAAACTTACATATAAATTATGTGATTAATGTTATAGAATCTTATTTATTGCAACAACTTAAACTGTCATGGCACTTTGAATTGCACAAGACTTGCTTTTACAACTACGTTTATTCGTGAAACACTTCTTTTTGCAATGACAGCGTGTATAGCCTTGTCCTCCACTTTTCGAGTTAGCTGCAGCTGCTTCTCTCAGCAATATTTCTTGAGAAGAAATCTCATCCGAGGAAAGTAACTTTTCTTTACAAATTACGAACTGATTATGGGTTTTTTTAAACTCTTTCTGCCCTGTGGGCACCAAGAGGGCCTCTTTTTGTAATCCCATTATGGGTTCGGCCAGGCTCACAATGGGGCTGCCGGGTGGTGAGGACAGGGCCCAACATATCCGAACGGACCATCCCCCAAATAATTCCTGGGGATTTTTCGACCCGTTCGGATTCAAACCCAGGCCCCCCAGAGCAGTAGGCTGCTACCTTGACCGCTCAGCCATCTGGCCGCTGACTGATTATGGGCAGTGCCGGCCCGAGGCAAGTTTTAGGATGGAGCGAGATCCTATTATGGCGCCCCCTTGGTCAGTAGCGTAGCAAACATAACTGGCGCTCGGGGCACGACACTTTATTGGCGCCCCCTCCAGAACACATATAGTTTGTCTTGGAGACCATTTGGGCGCCCCTCTGCGAGTGGCGCCCGGTGCTTGATGCACCCCTCACTATGCCACTGCCCTTGGTTGCCCCCAAATTTATACCCTTTAATTTTCTTTACCACTGAGGCGCCCCCTAGGACTTAGCGCCTGGAGCGGCTGCTCTTTTCGCCCTATGGTAGGGCCGGCTCTGATTATGGGTATAAAGCTGCTTGAGGGTACCATTTTTGTTTGCTAATTTATAATAGTCGGAGTCTTCTATTCCAACAACAACCGCCAACACATTTTGGGCATTTGTACGGCCACTGTTGACACCAGGGACTTGTATTCGTACGATATCATCAATTTGAGCAGAAGGAAACAGTGAAGAATTTGGCGACAGACTGTCGCCTTTCTGTCGACATCGGCTTCTCGAATGTCGTTTCAACCTCCACCAAAGCTTATCTGTGCTTGTCGACGTACACCGGCGATTGTTCGAATGTATAATAATATAACCAAATATTCGGTCTTTCACCGACCTATTTTGTATGTGTCAACATTCACTGGAGAATATCGACATTCTCTAATTTCAGTCTTTTACAGTAACATATACACTAAATACAGTAAAAAATTTCTAAAAAATACACATATTTGTTTATAGTTGTATTGTCTTTTCTTTATACATAACCTCAGTAATCAAAATCCTTATACAATAATCAGTTTAAAGTAGCAAACTATACAGTTTATAAAAATAAAACTATTATAAAATAATATTTTAAAATAAAACAAACCTGTCCAGCAGTATCCACAAGTTTAAGAAAATATTCTTGTCCTTTAACTTTAATTGTCTTTGTGAAAGCTAAATAATAATTAATACAAATCATAGTTCTTTTAATTAATTATATTTATTACTTAATATATATAAATATATTTACGTATAATATAAAATAAAAAATTTTGTTGAAAAATATTTTACATTTATATATATATATATACTAGCAGACCCCGCCACGNGTCTTGGAGACCATTTGGGCGCCCCTCTGCGAGTGGCGCCCGGTGCTTGATGCACCCCTCACTATGCCACTGCCCTTGGTTGCCCCCAAATTTATACCCTTTAATTTTCTTTACCACTGAGGCGCCCCCTAGGACTTAGCGCCTGGAGCGGCTGCTCTTTTCGCCCTATGGTAGGGCCGGCTCTGATTATGGGTATAAAGCTGCTTGAGGGTACCATTTTTGTTTGCTAATTTATAATAGTCGGAGTCTTCTATTCCAACAACAACCGCCAACACATTTTGGGCATTTGTACGGCCACTGTTGACACCAGGGACTTGTATTCGTACGATATCATCAATTTGAGCAGAAGGAAACAGTGAAGAATTTGGCGACAGACTGTCGCCTTTCTGTCGACATCGGCTTCTCGAATGTCGTTTCAACCTCCACCAAAGCTTATCTGTGCTTGTCGACGTACACCGGCGATTGTTCGAATGTATAATAATATAACCAAATATTCGGTCTTTCACCGACCTATTTTGTATGTGTCAACATTCACTGGAGAATATCGACATTCTCTAATTTCAGTCTTTTACAGTAACATATACACTAAATACAGTAAAAAATTTCTAAAAAATACACGTATTTGTTTATAGTTGTATTGTCTTTTCTTTATACATAACCTCAGTAATCAAAATCCTTATACAATAATCAGTTTAAAGTAGCAAACTATACAGTTTATAAAAATAAAACTATTATAAAATAATATTTTAAAATAAAACAAACCTGTCCAGCAGTATCCACAAGTTTAAGAAAATATTCTTGTCCTTTAACTTTAATTGTCTTTGTGAAAGCTAAATAATAATTAATACAAATCATAGTTCTTTTAATTAATTATATTTATTACTTAATATATATAAATATATTTACGTATAATATAAAATAAAAAATTTTGTTGAAAAATATTTTACATTTATATATATATATATACTAGCAGACCCCGCCACGAGTTGTTGTGGCTCAAAACGTATCTATTATAAATGTATAACACTTTCCCCATAGGGGGAATTTTTCGAAAATTCCCTTCTTAGTGTACATTCTCTTGATGTACCCTATTAAAACACAATCAAAAATGCAAAAAAACCACATCAAAAATAGTATAATAGAAGCCAAGTTCTTCACAGTAAGCCTTAATCCTGTCCCTCTCCCCTGCAGGGGGAATATCAAAAAACCCCTTTTTAGTGTATATTCTGTTGACATACCCTATTAAAAAGCAATCAAAAACACAAAAAACTGCATATAAAATAGTATAAATAGAAGCAGAGTTCTTTATGGCAAGCCTTAATCCTAACCATCCCCCCAGTGGGGGGAATTTTGACACAAATATTATATAAAAACATGTGCGTATTCGAATGCAGCGTTGTGTGAAAATTTCAAAGGAATCGGTAGGAACAAACGAACATTACATTTTTATTTATACAGATAGAAGATGATATGCTTTAGTTCAATGGTGGGCAACCCCGGCCCGCGAAAAGTTTCTATCCGGCCCGCGAGATGTTTAAAAGAAATTATAAATAAATGTTTTCCGATGTAATTCGTCTAGTTTAAATTGAATATTATTTTCTGAAGTGTTGCGGCAGTAATGACAGGAAAAAATAAGGGAGTCATTTCCTTATTCAAACAAAAAATGGGAGAACAGAATTTTTCTAAATTATTTATATCTCATCGCATCATCCATCAAGAAAATCTATGTGCAAAAGCTATGCAATTAGAAAATGTAATGTCTGTTGTATCCAACTACATAGTGCTGTTTTTATTGTGTTTAAAGTCACTTAGATTTTACAAATAGGTGAGCCGTTCACAGCCCGGCACACGCATTTGTAAAATCTAAGTGACTCATACAACATGGAATTCATATAAAACGGAATAATCAACAGTGTTATAGGGGAGGTCGACTGTAGTAATTAATTTCTTTTTATTTATTTATTTATTTATTTCATATTTGCAGACTAAAAATTTACAGGTCACAAGGTGTCAATTAACTACTATGGCCCGTGGAAAAAACGTAAAATTTATTCTGGCCCATGTTATAAAAAAGTTGCCCACCCTTGCTTTAGTTCATCCTCACAGAAAAGCAAACTTAGGTCGTCATAATCGTAGCGCCATCTGTTGGACATAAAAGCCTTAATTAACTTAGATGATATCTTTTAATTTATATGAATGTTTACTGGAATAATATACAGCCTATGTCCAGCCTGAAGTTCCATTCTAAATATTGGTGAAAGAATTTTTGAAATCTGATGAGTAGTTTCAGAGATTACCCACTACATCCAAACTTACAAACATTACCTCTTTATAATATTAGTATAGATATAAAACATTTAAACCTTAGATTAAACAAAAAGCAGACCATAAAAATTAATCTTCATAAATGATTTTGTTTTTACTGAAACCATAACTGATAGAAAATGCTCACAATAGCTTAATTTTTGTGAAATAAATGTATGAAAACCCAAATTTCACATATGAAAATTAGGGATATCAAAATATCACGTACCTTAGAAAAAACCTTTAACCGATGCAAAGTAAAAATTTAATAGTACAAACGTTTTCAGACCCCTCCTGGGTCCATCTTCAGGCAAAAATCGTTTGAAGATTTACGAAGTACGAAAAATATTCGTTTAGAACGATTTTTAAAACCGAAAAGATAGAATGGAATCACGTGATCTATATCTGTGAACGTCATATCTTCTACGTCATATTCACAGATATTTAAATATTTTCC